AGGGTATATCCAACAAACCCGTACCCTCTATAGTGCAAATGCTATAGGCAGCAGCACTAGGAACTAGCCGCAGATATAGGCACCGGGGGCGGTTCGAGGTACAGCACGGCAGAAGGTGAATGGCTCGGCAGCAGGCAGAGTGGCATCGTTGCGCGGTTGCGGCAGTAGGGAGGGCGGCGTGGCGCGGCTCGGCAGGGCAGCGCGGCGCGGCAGGGCGGCGTGTGCGGCAGGAGGCCGGGCGGTGCGGTGGCAGCGCGGCTGCAGGTGGCGCGGCAGTGGGCGGCCAGCGGGCTGCAGCGGGCCGGTAGCGAGCGGCGCGCGAGGCGGCGCACGGGCGGCTATGTGGCAGCGCAGGCTGCAGCGCTGGCTGCAGCGCAGGCGGCAGCGCAGCAGGGTCAGCGTGGCGCGGCAGCGCGGGCGGCGGCGTGGGCGGGGCAGCTCGGGGCAGCGCGGGGCAGCACGCGCAGGCAGCGCGACAGCGCAAGGCAGCGCGCGCGGGGCAGCGCAGGGCAGTGCGCGCGCAGCAGTGCGAGGCAGCGCGCGCGGGGCAGTGCACGCGGGCAGCGCGGGGCAGTGCGGGGCAGCGCGCAGTAAGGGGCAGCGCGGCAGCAGCGGCACAGCGCAGCCGGAACGAACCTACTCGGATACCATGTTGAGATATGAAACAGCGGAATGATTGCATTGAGCAGCATGAATGATCCAAGTATGAACCCTAAAAGGGTTGTACCCCCCACAATGCGCCTCACTACAACCTACAACACAAACATAACATTTGACACTACTTGAGTTAAACCTTAGCACAGGCAGATTCTACAAGAGGGAGGGGTAGTACGAAGACATTTTTCCTTACATCGAGTACGTCTTGCCAGCGGCACAATGAACCGTGTTTTCCTAACTCCATTAACTTTCAACTAATACTTGCACAACTGATACTCCAAGGATGCAGCAAGAGCCTCTGAAGTGAGTGAGCGGACAGCATAATCAATAACCGTAACCTCCACCTTGATGATAATTTGCACCACCATAATTGCCTTGCTGGAAACCAGATTGCTGGTAGTTGCCAGTACCTGTCGGATAACCACCTTGCTGATTTGGATATCCACCACCTCCCATTCCCATGCCCATGTTTCCTGCCATGCCCCCTCCCATCCCTCCCATGCCTCCACCACCCATCCCCATTCCCCCATACCCACCACCCTGCATACCATAGGCACCACCACCACCGCCCATGGCACCCATTCCACCACCCATTCCGCCCATCGCCCCCATCCCCCCCATTCCTCCTCCCATTCCCATCCCACCACCCATGCCACCCATGCCTCCCATGCCTCCCATCCCCCCCATGCCCCCCATGCCCCCCATGCCTGCCCCCCCACCCATGCCACCGGCACCAGCACCAGGCCCATGGCACGGCCCATGGCAGCGGGCACACCGCCCTGCTGCCCCTGCCCCTGCCCCTGCCCCCGGTGCTGCTGCTGCTGGTGGCGGCTGGCGTCCTCCTTGCGCTCGCGCGCCGACCTGAGCTTCGACTTGGGCATCACGCCCACCGAGCTCAGTGGGTCGTCCGGCTCTGATGCCGCCACGCAGGTGTGGTGGCAGGGGGTGGCGCACGGGTGAAAGGAGATGGTGGGTAAGGGGATGGCAGAGCAAGGGAGAGTGGAAGGTGAGAGGAGTGGGAATGGCACGTGGGAGAAGGGTGATGCTGGGCGAGTGGGATGCATTTCAAAGCAAGGACAGAGCTGTTGCTTGAACGAGAGAGAAAGTGCGAGCCATTCAGTGCCGTGTTAAGGCAAAGAACAGTTGCACCTTGTGTGTCTTGCTGCTGCCATGTGCCTTTCAACAGCCAGCAGCAGCTAGGCACTCACAGCACAGGCATGCTGCATGTGCACAGGCGCAGCATGCAGACATGGTATGGTACACGCGTGCCATGCAGGGGGCATACCCTTAGAGATGTCGAGGTCCACGAGGCCGGCACTGAGCACGTCTGAGAACACACTCGACTTCTTCACTCCCGCACCCGCCCCCCCACTCGCACTGCCCTTGCCCTCACCGCCCACGCCGGCAGCAGCAGGGGGGGCCGCAGAAGCAGGTGCAGTCACGGAGGTAGGGGGGGCGGGTGATGGGCAGTGGGATGGGGGGGAGCAACGGAGGAGGTGGGGCCAGCGTCTGAGGCAGAGAAGGCATATGGTGTAGTTGGCGCAGCAGGCTGGGAGGGGTCTGCGTAACCAGATGCCGCCACCGCTGCCTGCTGCGGCTGCTGCGGCTGCTGCTGCTGCTGCTGCTGCTGCTGCTGCTGCTGCTGCTGCTGCTGCTGCTGCTGCTGCTGCTGCTGCTGCGGCTGCTGCTGCTGCTGCTGCTGCTGCTGCTGCTGCTGCTGCTGCTGCTGCTGCTGCTGCTGCTGCTGCTGCTGCTGCTGCTGCTGCTGCTGCTGTGGGGGTTGCTCGGACGAGAAGGAGTAGGGAGGGGGGGCATCGGGCGGGAAGGCATGGAAGCCCTCCGGAGAGGCCGTTGCTGCTGCAGCAGCAGCGGGGGGGCTGGCGGGTGCCGCTGCTGGTTGCTGCTGCTGCTGCTGTGGCTGCTGCGGTGGCTGCTGGTATTGCGGGGTTGGCTGGTCGTACTGCGGAGGAGGCTGCTGGTACTGCTGAGGTGCCTGCTGATACTGCTGAGGTGGTTGCTGATACTGCTGAGGTGGTTGCTGATACTGCTGAGGTGGTTGCTGATACTGCTGAGGTGGTTGCTGATACTGCTGAGGTGGCTGCTGGTATTGCTGAGGTGGCTGCTGATACTGCTGCGGTGCCTGCTGATACTGCTGAGGTGGCTGCTGGTATTGCTGAGGTGGCTGCTGATACTGCTGAGGTGGCTGCTGGGGATGGTGTTGTTGCTGCTGGTAGTGCCCTGGCTGCTGTGGCTCCTGTGAGAACGTGGCTGGGAAGGACGAATCCCCAAGCAGATGGCTCTGAGGGCAAGGGAGGATGAGGGGCGGAACAGATCGGGAGAAACTAAAGAAACGCCTGGTGAGGTTGGCGGAGCGATACGAAAGAGTGGGGTGGAAGGCAAGGTAAAAAAAAGGGAAGCCGAGTGAACAGAATAGAAACCAAGGTGAGAGGGTAGTGAGTCCAAAGGGGCGAGCGAGTGTGTACCTGCGACTGCTGCAGCAGGTGCGGGCTGCCACTGGCTGCAGCACTGGCTGCTGTGGTGCGGAGCGCGGGGTCAAAGTCGTCATCGGTCAAACCCCCCGCCCCCTCCACCAGACGCCGCTGCTGCTGGCGCCAGCCGCCGCAGCAGCAGCAGCAGCAGGAGAGGCATCGGAGGGCGGGTAGGTGTAGGGCTGTGTTGGGCCTGGGCCGTAGGCGCTGCTGTGGGTGGTTCCGGAGGAGGAAGGAGGGAAAGGGCGAGTTGGCATGGTGAGCATGGTAGGCACCCAGACAGTGACGTGCCAGGCTACCATCAGCTGCTTGACGCTGGAAAGGGAACTTCCAAGCGGAGATGAATGGATGCGGGAGAAAATAATACTTGTGGAAAAAGACCCACCTTGCTGAGAAGCCTTCCTCTCCAAAAGGACTGGCGCTGGCTGCTGCAGTGCTGGGCACGGCAGCAGGCCTGGGCGCACTCTGCGGCGTACCCACCGCCCCCCACCGCCCCCCGCCCTGCCCCGCTGTCACACCTTCCCCGCCAGCACTGCTGCCCGCCACCCTGCTGCCTGCCACACCCCCTCCCTCGTGCCCGCCTGCCCTCGCTGCAACCGCCCCCCGTGCTGCTGTGCTCCACCTCCTCCTCCGCCCCGTACCTCTCCTTGTCTGTGTACCCGCCCGGCCTCTCGCCCTCGCCACTGTGTGCGCTGTCAGTGGAGTGCACCCCCTCCCCCTCCCTCTCCCTCTCCGCGGACCCCGTGCTGTACACACTCCTGCCGTCGCCCGCGTAGCTGTTGCTGCCGTAGCTGGCCGTGGGGTGCGAGTCCTTAACTTTGCTTGTCTGGCTCGTAGTCGCCATACGGGTTCGATGCCCGCCCCGAGCCCGCTACTGACACGCCTTTGAACCTGGTGGGGGACGGTCACGAGTGGTTGGGAGGGGCAAGAGGTGCAAAATGAGGTTATTTGGAGCATGCAGCACTCCAAGTCAGACACCTCTCAGTGACTTCTTGCTAGTGGCAGCAGCACGCACCTGTGGCGGGTGGCAGCAGCACGCACCTGTTGCGGGTGGCAGCAGCACGCACCTGTTGCGGGTGGCAGCACCACGCACCTGTGGCGGGTGGCAGCAGCACGCACCTGTTGCGGGGTGGCAGCAGCACGCACCTGTTGCGGGTGGCAGCAGCACGCACCTGTGGCGGGTGGCAGCAGCACGCACCTGTTGCGGGTGGCAGCAGCACGCACCTGTTGCGGGTGGCAGCAGCACGCACCTGTTGCGGGTGGCAGCAGCACGCACCTGTTGCGGGTGGCAGCAGCACGCACCTGTTGCGGGTGGCAGCAGCACGCACCTGTGGCGGGTGGCAGCAGCACGCACCTGTTGCGGGTGGCAGCAGCACGCACCTGTTGCGGGTGGCAGCAGCACGCACCTGTTGCGGGTGGCAGCAGCACGCTCCCTGAGCTCAGCAATGCGCGCGGGAGTCGCGCAGCAGGGCGAGCAGCGACTGCGCCTTGGTGCGCACGTTGAGGCCCTGGTCCTTGCCCGCGCTGTCCATGTACTGGAAATCGGCCAGGCCCTGAGTGCGCACGCAACGCAGGCCACAGAGGGATGGATGAAGCAAAGAAGAGGAAGGGTCTGCTGATCGCCATAACACAAATTAGCGAAGAGTTCACAGTAAGTAACAACAGAAGAATGCAAAGGAAATAGCAGATTTGAGCATGAGGAGAGACGGCACCTGAATGAAGGCAGAGCGGTCGCGCAGGTCTTTGGACGACGCGCTCGGTGCCATGCGCCACCAGGTACTCCATCACCACCAGCGCCTGCCCCGTGCCCCGCACCGTGGCACCACGCCATCCAGCACACACGAGAAGATGGGGCACGGACACAGCATACAAGAGGGCGAACGGAGCACACACATTGATGCCAGCGAACGCCCAGTGAACCTAAAGCGACCCCGTACCAAGCCCATAACGAAAGAAGGTCACACAAATTTTCGTGCTTTGAGCACCCCAATTCATACACGTGGACACACCTTGTACACGTGGCGCCAGTCCTTGCCGACATCCAGGCAGCGTTTCCACAGCACGTTCATGACCATGGAGTACTCGATCCTGCACCGCGCACAGCAGCCCCGCGCACAGCAGCCCCCGCGCACAGCAAGCCCCGCGCACAGCAGCCCCGCGCACAGCAGCACCGCGCACAGCAGCGCACAGCAGCACCGTGCACAGCAGCACAGCCATGAGAGATGAGTGAACGCGCAAAGGAAACTGACGTGAGACAACGAAGTGCACTCAAGTGGGATGCTTCTACGGAAACGATCAGCGTGCAGGTGGTTACGGACGCGGATTATAAACGGCATAGACTAAGCTGAGCTGGCCAGGGAAAAAGAGATAATGCAAGATTCGCGGCGCTGCGAAGGAAGCGGGCCGTACGGGTTGTGCGACGCCCGCGCGAGGTCCACGAGCAGCTGGCCATGAGGCCCCCCACGGCTCGTTGGTCGTCGCGTCCAGTGCCTGAGAGACAGGCACATGCACACGCACATGCACACGCGCGCACACACGCGCACGCACACGCGCGCACGAACAGTCGCACGCACACGCGCACGGACAGTCGCACACGCGCACGGCACACGCACGCACACTCATGAGCATATGTATAACCCATGTGCACGCAAAACGAGCACGCACACGCAACAACGCACACCCACGAGCATCCAAAATAATGAAAGAAATTCACCGTGTCAATGCAACTACGAAATCGTTCCGTTAACGGTAGCCCTGAATCTATATGTTTGAACAGAGGAAAATCGGAAGGTGAAATCTATATGTTTGAAGGCGTGCAGTCGCATCAAGAAGCAACTCGATACAACTAAAACACGCATCACTACGTAGTCCGGAAAGCGCGAGCACGAATGAGGGGACTTAGAGAAAAAGAAGACATCTCACCTTGCGCTCAGCATCAGGCACCTTGAGTACATTCTTGTTGACCTCACGCTTTCTGCACCGGCAAACCACGGAGACGAATGGTAACAGATTAGCACGATCGAAGCAGATCAGAGGAAAGCAAGAAGGTTGTTCAACAGCGAAAAAACACTAGGGAACGGCGTGAAGGTTCCGCTTCGAGACAATGGCACGAAGTAGCACAAACAAGGAAAACGTACAGGTCTCGAACCGTACGGTCGAATGCCTTGTAAATTGACGACATTACTATTGACTAAAAGCTGCGATCACGATGATGATAGATGCAGGTGCTGATCAGTATTCTAATACGGTCTACAATAACAAGGATCTTGGATTACGGCCATCGATGCAGTGTCAGCAGAACAACATAGCAATGCTACCAATGTACTCTGTCCAGTTTTGCTGTGGCATCTTGGTTTTGAGAAAACTGCTGACGGAAGCATGCTTGGCTGTCCCTCCCCACCCCAAAGCGGAGGCGGTGAGAGAAAGTTCGGGAAAGTCGCGGGAATCCCGTTGCTTTCAAATTGCGTATTTGCTCGTTGACAAGATGGCTTTGGGGTGAGTGGTCCGGTCGAGAACAATAATACTAACGAAGCAAATATCCTTGACATTAAAGCCCAAGACCTGAATTACAAAAAAAGGAAGGCAAACTGTGCACAGTTTGCCTACCGAGCCCCACAGTTGACCTCCCGAGCCAGGCTGGTTACCAGAAAACAAAGCGCCAAAAAAACAGAGTGTCGTAGAGCAGAACGGGTTTGGTTGGCGAGAGTCCCAACCACACCCACCTGAAGGAACAAGGGCTCAAAATGTGCACAGTTTGCCTTCTTTGGTAATTCAGGTCGTGCGATTTCCATAGTACGCGAAGCGATTAGATCATGCGAAGAGATAGAATAAAAAGCCACTAAAGCATAGGCCATGAGCATTTTCACCTTTAGTCCTAGCCCATCCCCAAACATCGCATTTGGACCTATCGCCTTCCGCGTCCCCCACGCTTCTCCCCACCGTCTCTCACACACCTCCCCACGCACACGCCCACGCTTCCCTCACCGTCGCCCACGCTTTCCCCCATCGTCGCTCACGCTTCCCCTTACCGCCGCTCACGCTTCCTCCTGCCTTCCCCACGCTTCCCCACACCGTCGCTCACGCCTTCCCCCACCTTCCCTCACGATTCCCCTCTCATCGCCCACGGTTCCTCCTACCGTCGCCCACGCTTCCTCCCACCGTCACCCACGCTTCCTCCCACCGTCGCCCAAGCTTCCCCCCACCGTCGCCCAAGCTTCCCCCCACCGTCGCCCACGCTTCTTCCCACCGTCGCCCACGCTTCCCCCCACCGTCGCCCACGCTTCCCCCCACCGTCACCCACGCTTCCCCCCACCGTCGCCCACGCTTCCCCCCCACCGTCGCCCACGCTTCCCCCCACCGTCGCCCACGCTTCCCCCCACCGTCGCCCACGCTTCCCCCCACCGTCGCCCACGCTTCCCCCCACCGTCGCCCACGCTTCCCCCCACCGTCACCCACCGCCACCGTCGCCCCACCGCCACCGTCGCCCACCCCCACTGTCGCCCACGCTTGCCCTCCCATCGCCCTCGGTTAGACTTCCCGCCGACCTCCCTTCTCTCCCACCTCTCTCCACGTCGTCATCACTCCCCTGCCCATCACGTTCCCCCTCTTCACCATCGCGTCTCTACCCATGCCGCCCACCCTCTCATCCCTTCCCATCGCATTTAGGGTCGTCGTTGTATCCCTTCCCCATTGCCTCGTTAGGTCGCTCACGCTCTCCCCATTACCACCTTCTCTACTCCTACCATCGCCATGGTTACCACCCCACCCTTGCACCCTTATTTCCTTCTCTCTCATTCTCCCTCCCCATCAGCCTCTCACCCACCCTGGGCGGGGAGGTATGGCGGGCTGGGCTGGGAGCTGGGGAAGGGGTCGTGACTCGTTCGCTGTGGGGTGTGGAAGGGTGCGTGGTCAGCAGCACCCACCCTTCTCTCTCTTGCACTGACCTCCTCTCCTCTCTCGCACCAACCCCACACGCATGGCAGGTGGTGGTGCGGCTTTGGAGCAGAGTGTTTGGCGCACAGCCAGGGCAGCGCGTGCAGGCGGGCAGCAAGGAGTGCAGTGTTGCAGGGGGCGGGTCAGGGGAGCGGGGGAGGCGGGGCAGGGGAGGCGGGGGTTAGGGAGAGAGGGTGCAGGGATCCTCCTATCCCCCGTTCCACCCTTATACCCTACCACACTTTTACCTCCTGCCCTCCTCCCTTACTCCGTTCCGTCGTTCCCCCACAGTCGTCCTCCTCTCCCTCTCCCTTCCTCCCTTCCTCCATCATCTCTGCCTCACTACCCTCTTTACCCTCTCTGTTGCCCGTCCTTCCTTCCTCCCTTCCTCCATCTCTCTGCCTCACTACCCTCTTTACCCTCTCTGTTGCCCGTCCTCCCTTCCTCCCATCCTTCTTTCCTGCCATTCTTCCTCTCCTCATCCTCCCTCGATCCAGTCCCCCTTCCCCTTTCCATCTCCCACTCTCCTACTCCCTTCCTCACGCCAACCCTGGTCCTCCGTTCCACCCTTCTACCTTCCCCCTTGTACTGATGAAGGTGTGTCTCGGTACCCAGCCACACTTTTTCCTCTCATCCGGCCCCATCATCTCATCCGCCCATCATCTCATCCGCCCATCATCTCAATCGCCCATCATCTCATCCGCCCATCCTCTCATCCGCCCATCATCTCATCCGCCCATCACCTCATCCGCCCATCATCTCATCCGCCCATCATCTCATCCGCCCATCATCTCCTCCGCCCATCATCTCATCCGCCCATCATCTCATCCGCCCATCCTCTCATTCGCCCATCATCTCATCCGCCCATCATCTCATCCGCCCATCATCTCATCCGCCCATCATCTCATCCGCCCATCATCTCATCCGCCCATCATCTCATCCGCCCATCACCTCATCCACCCATCGTCTCATCCGCCCATCATCTCATCCGCCCATCATCTCATCCGCCCCATCCTCTCATCCGCCCATCATCTCATCCGCCCATCACCTCATCCGCCCATCGTCTCATCCGCCCATCATCTCATCCGCCCATCATCTCATCCGCCCATCCTCTCATCCGCCCATCATCTCATCCGCCCATCATCTCATCCGCCCATCATCTCATCCGCCCATCATCTCATCCGCCCATCATCTCATCTGCCCATCATCGTCATCCGCCCATCATCATGCCGCCCATCACCTCATCCGCCATCACCTCATCCGCCCATCACCTCATCCGCCCATCATCTCATCCGCCCATCATCTCATCCGCCCATCCTCTCATCCGCCCATCCTCTCATCCGCCCATCCTCTCATCCGCCCATCATCTTCATCCGCCCATCATCTCATCCGCCATCATCTCATCCGCCCATCATCTCATCCGCCCATCATCCATCCGCCCATCATCTCAATCCGCCCATCATCTCATCCGCCCATCACCTCATCCGCCCATCATCTCATCCGCCCATCATCTCATCCGCCATCATCTCATCCGCCCATCATCTCATCCGCCCATCCTCTCATCCGCCCATCATCTCATCTGCCCCATCATCTCATCCGCCCTCATCCACCGCCCCATCTCATCCCTCCTCCGCCCATCATCTCATCCGCCCATCATCTCATCCGCCCATCATCTCATCCGCCCATCATCTCATCCGCCCATCATCTCATCCGCCCATCATCTCATCCGCCCATCTTCATCCGCCCCATCATCTCATCCGCCCATCATCTCATCCGCCCATCATCTCATCCGCCCATCCTCTCATCGCCCATCCTCTCATCGCCCATCATCCTCATGCCAGCCCATCATCTCATCCGCCCATCATCTCATCCGCCCCATCATCTCATCCGCCCACTCTCATCCGCCCATCATCTCATCCGCCCATCATCCATCCGCCCATCATCCATCCGCCCATCATCCATCCGCCCATCACCTCATCCGCCCATCATCTCATCCGCCCATCATCTCATCCGCCCATCATCTCATCCGCCCATCATCTCATCCACCCATCCTCTCATCCGCCCATCCTCTCATCCCGCCCATCATCTCATCCGCCCATCATCTCAATCCGCCCATCATCTCATCCGCCCATCATCTCATCCGCCCATCATCTCATCCGCCATCCATCTCATCCACCCATCACCTCATCCGCCCATCACCGTCATCCGCCCATCATCTCATCCGCCCATCATCTCATCCGCCCATCATCTCATCCGCCCATCATCTCATCCGTCCACCCTCTCATCCGCCCATCATCTCATCCGCCCATCCTCTCACCGTCGCCCACGGCTTCTGCCTTAGTGCCTTTCCGTGCTCTCTCTCCCCTACCCACGCTTCATCTCGCTCACCCTTCCGCCCTTCCTCCGTGTCTCCCTTGCTCATTTTCTGCCTCCGTGCATTCTTTGTTCCCCACCCTCCATCAGAGTTTGTGGTTCGTGTCTGTGCAGGTCTGCCATGCATCCAGTTGTGATGAGTATAGGGTTTGATAATATTAGTTGTCTACAATAGCTATGCCATGTACCGTTATTGATGTTGGTTGGATGCGTCTCATAATACACCACATCGTGATTTGGAGCATTATGAAAAAGTGCAACAAAGCAAAATAATGTTCCATTTATGTTGCCAAGACAAGACTATAAGCACAAGCACAAGCTAGGAGGTGGTAACTTTTCAACCCACTCCTGTTTGGGACCCATCGCATGGTTCTGTATGGAACGGGGAGGGAAGAGAGGATATGGCAGAATAAGCGAGGGGTGAAGGTGGAGGGCATGTATGGGAGGAGTTAGGCAGAGGAGTGAGCGAAGCGGGGAACAGAGTGAGCAGGGTGGAGAAGGCGGTGAGCAAAGGGGATAGCCAGTAAGCATGGGGCTAAGGAGGGGAAATGAGAGGACTTGGGGGGGGGAAAGGGTTGAACAAAGGGGAATAGAGAGTAAACAGGGTGGAAAGATGGGTGAGTACAGGGGGGAAAGAGAGTGACCAGAGGGGGAGAGAGTGAACAAGGGGTAAGGGAGTGAGCAGGGGATTTTAGGGGCGAGCACAGGGGAAATAGACCGAGCAGGGGGGAAATGGGTGAGAAAGGGGGAAAGAGGGATGAGAACAGGGGAAAGAAAGTGAGCAGGGGGAAGAGAGTGAGCAGGGGGGAAGAGAGTGAGCAGGGAGGGAGAGAGTGAGTATAGGAGTGAGCCGGGAAAACAGGGGCGAGCAGAGGGGGTAAGAGAGCGTGAAGGGGGGAAATGGGGGAGGTGAAGGCGACAGGAGGGGGAAGTGAAGGCGACGGGAAGGGGAAGTGAAGGCGACGGGAGGGGGAAATGAAGGAGACGGGAGGGGAAGTGAAGGCGACGGGGAGGGGGAAATGAAGGCGACGGGAGGGGGAAGTGAAGGCGACGGGAGGGGGAAGTGAAGGCGACGGGAGGGAGAAGTGAAGGCGAACGGGAGGGGGAAGTGAAGGCGACGGGAGGGGGAAGTGAAGGCGAGGGGAGGGGGAAGTGAAGGCGACGGGAGGGGGAAGTGAAGGCGACGGGAGGGGGAAGTGAAGGCGACGGGAGGGGGAAGTGAAGGCGACGGGAGGGGGAAGTGAAGGCGACGGGAGGGGGAAGTGAAGGCGACGAGAGGGGGAAGTGAAGGCGACGGGAGGGGGAAGTGAAGGCGACGGGAGGGGGAAGTGAAGGCGACGGGAGGGGGAAGTGAAGGCGACGGGAAGGGGAAGTGAAGGCGACGGGAGGGGGAAGTGAAGGCGACGGGAAGGGGAAGTGAAGGCGACGGGAGGGGGAAATGAAGGAGACGGGAGGGGAAGTGAAGGTGACGGGAGGGGGAAGTGAAGGCGACGGGAGGGAGAAGTGAAGGCGACGGGAGGGGGAAGTGTGAAGGCGAGGGAGGGGGAAGTGAAGGCGACGGGAGGGGGAAGTGAAGGCGACGAGAGGGGGAAGTGAAGGCGACGGGGGGGAGAAGTGAAGGCGACGGGAGGGGGTAGTGAAGGTGACGGGAAGGGGAAGTGAAGGCGACGGGAGGGGGGAAAGTGAAGGCGACGAGAGGGGGACGTGAAGGCGACGGGAGGACGAGAGGGGGAAATGAAGGCAACGGAAGGGGGGGGAGGAGGGGGGGGGAGTGAAGGCGACGGGCGGAGCGAAGGCGACGGGCAGGGGTCGCGAACGCGACGAGCTGCGGAAGCGATGGCGACGACGCGGGCGACAGAGAGCGGAAGCGTGGGACCTAGGGAAATGAAAGCGAGGGCGAGGGGAGGGTCACGCTTGGGCGAACGGGTGCGATTCGATTTTCGCCGCGAGTTTACGCTACGCAGTAGTTGCACAATAAAATGCATTTCGACACAAAAATCTTCACCCAGCGAGCACTAGCTTTGCGCGTCATCATCAAAATCCGCGCCACCCACATCGTAAGGCGCATCTGATCCCTTTGAGTGAACGCCGACGCCCTGCCCTGTCTACAGGTATGGTATATGCCTAATACTCTGCGTGCTATCTCAAACTGTGCACAGTTTGGTATGCACGTGATTTTCTGGTTGTGGGAAGGACCCCACCCATCATGGGAAGCGAGAAACTTTTGTCGCAAATTGGTTTCGCGAGTGAAAGTCTCTCGCAACCCAACCGAAACCTCTCCGTGCCTGCCTCCCGAACCTAGTATTTAGCGTTGACTTCCGTTGAGTAATTCAGGTCTTGGGCTTTAACATGGTGGGGAACAATAATTGTGGCCTGAGCACCTTTCGTCACGCCCAAACAAACAGCACCGCAGGCAGCGGAAGAAAACCAGACCAGACCACAACTCTTGCAATTCACGAATCAGGCCGCGTGCTTCCGCCACCCCCTGCTCTCACAAATTCTTCCCCTTCCCGCCCCCACCTCCCTTCTTCCCCCACCTCCCTTCTTCCCCCACCTCCCTTCTTCCCCCATCTCCCTTCTTCCCCCATCTCCCTTCTTCCCCCATCTCTCCCCCATCTCTCCCCCATCTCTCCCCCATCTTTCCCCCAATCCCTCCCATTCGCACCATTCTGTGCCCAAACGGACGGAGTCTCCCGTTGACTGCCGTGATGTAGCTTGCGACTGACGGTGGGTACGGACAGAGGGAGTCGCAAATAAGCCACGAACTTCGAGGTCCGACTCGTTCGAGTGGCTCGTCGGAAGGTCTCTACCAAGCTTACATCATCCTAATCTGATCGTTTCACCCTTCAATCCTAACATAGCGCCGATTGAGTTCTTCGAATACCTGCGACTTTGCTTAGTATCAGAAGCCGCGACTACCCTAGCCGATTCCCGATATCAAGAAGCAAAGTACCGCGATGACAGCGGCAGCTGGGAACCCTAAGAAGGAGTCCAAGAAGCCTAAGTGTGAGCTCCACTCCACTTCGCGAGTTCGTTCCCCCATTTCGGCTGCTGGGTCACTCACCAACTCTGTTCGAATTCGTAGATTTGTCACTCCGGCTATTCACCAAATTCCCATCCGTGTTTGTTTTTTCACATCTTTTGTTTTTTACAGTTGTTATTGGCGTGCAGTTGTTAATACACTGCATTGTGTTCCTGATCCATGTTCCCATTCGTGTGTCCAGACTCGCGTTTCACGCAGCAGGAGCTGCCGGCGTGCAAGCCGCTGCTGACTCCAGCATGGGTCAGTGCCACGCACGCGTCGTGATTCTCACATGCAAGTGGATCGAGATGAATTCATCGTTTAAGATATTGTGTTTTGCGCGTCGATGGTCTGTCACTGCCTCTTGCCGCGTCTGATGCGATGCTTCAGTCGCCCTTTCGTTCGTTGAACCCCCGTCCGATGCCATCGAGGTGCACGCCTTCCTCTGTCCGCCTCCCTCCCGCTCCCCCCTCACATCACTCACACCTCTTGTCCATCTGGCCCAAACCTCGCGCCCAAGGCCGCTTTCCCCGCCCCTCGTCACCCGCCTGTCTCTGCGTGTGGCAGGTGATCACCACGCTCTTCATCGTCGGTACCGCCTTCATCCCCATCGGAGTCGTCGCGCTCATGGCGTCTAACAGCGTAGGTCGCTCATGGCGTCTAACAGCGTAGGTCGCTCATGGCGTCTAACAGCGTAGGTCGCTCATGGCGTCTACAGCGTAGGTCGCTCATGGCGTCTAACAGCGTAGGTCGCTCATGGCGTCTAACAGCGTAGGTCGCTCATGGCGTCTAACAACGTAGGTCGCTCATGGCGTCTAACAGCGTAGGTCGCTCATGGCGTCTAACAGCGTAGGTCGCTCGTGGCGTCTAACAGCGTAGGTCGCTCATGGCGTCTAACAGCGTAGGTCGCTCATGGCGTCTAACAGCGTAGGTCGCTCATGGCGTCTAACAGCGTAGGTCGCTCATGGCGTCTAACAGCGTAGGTCGCTCATGGCGTCTAACAGCGTAGGTCGCTCGTGGCGTCTAACAGCGTAGGTCGCTCATGGCGTCTAACAGCGTAGGTCGCTCATGGCGTCTAACAGCGTAGGTCGCTCGTGACATCCAACAGTCTTGGCGCGCTGGATGCAGTTCTTGTCGCGTTGTATCGGCGCCTCTGTGCGCCTTGCCGCCCGCACGCGCCAGCTTCGACTTACTGCCCTCCCTTCCTCTGTGTGCCCATGCGTGTGCGTGCGCGTCATCCCGCAGGTGGTGGAGGTGGTGCAGCGCTACGACGACAGCTGCGTGCCGGCCGGCACGGACGGCGTGGCGTACATTCAGAACGCGTCCGTGGTGAAGAAATGCGACATCCGGATCACCGTCAGTCGCCCCTCCGCGTTTCCCTCGCCCGCACTCCCCTTAGTCACTCTCCTGTCTCTCGCTCTCTCACCGCTTCCAGTTCACCCACTATTTGAACTGTTCCTTCGTGGCCTCATTCATCCATTCAAATCGCATCTCGCTGCTCCCAACCGTTGCTCGTTCTCCTTGATCCGCCCGTCACGCGCGTGCTGGCCGCCGTGCAGGTGCCGAAGCGCATGCAGGCGCCAGTGTTCGTGTACTACCAGCTCACCAACTTCTACCAGAACCACCGCCGGTACGCGCCCTCCCGCCTGCCCTCATGCCGTGCCATGCCACGCCATGCCATGTGGTACCCTTTTCAACGTGTAGCCCCGTGGTAGCGCAGCAGTGAAGCTACTTTTCAATCAACTGAGGCTTCCTCGAAGCTAGCTTATCCCACTGATGATGGCCAGTTGTTTTTGCTGCTTGCCACTTTCTCCTTTTAAGGTAGTTCTTTCCACGCTAGCTCATCCAAACTAGCTCAATGTAAGCCCTCTCTACTCCCCTGTTCCCCCCCCCCCCCCCTTCCCCCTTTCCCTTGCATGGGGTGGTGCAGGTACGTGAAGAGCCGCAGTGACAGCCAGCTGCGGGGCACCAACATCAGTGGCAGCGACTTTGACGTGTGCCAGCCAGAGGCGTACCTGTGGGACAACTCGTCCCTCGCCCATCCGGCCGTGCGGGCTGGTGGCGTGGTCGCTGTTCAACGACTCGTACGCCATCACGGCCGCGGGCAGCGGGCAGCAGCTGGCCATCGACAGCAGCAACATCGCGTGGCCCAGCGACCAGAGCGGCAAGTTCGCTGGCGTGCCCCCGGAGAACTTCAACACCGTTGAGAACCTGCGCGGCGGGGCGCAGCTCAACACACTTGTAAGCGTGCTTAGGGCGGCACACAGGCATGGTGCACGAGCATGCATAGGTGTGGGCTACACGTGCTTGGTAGCATCTGTGGCTGTGGTGGCATGGGCATGCATGTCCGAGTGCGGTCCTCACAGGGTTGTGACCCTGCTTTCTCCCTTGTGTCCCCGCCCCTACGTGTGTGTGGAGTGCAGCTGAACCAGTCGGAGAATCTGATGGTGTGGATGCGCACAGCAGCGCTGCCCACGTTCCGCAAGCTGTATGGGCGCATAAACACGCCGCTGGAGGCGGGCAGCACGCTGGCGGTGGTGCTGCAGAACAACTACAACTCCTACGAGTACGGCGGCCAGAAGGCCCTCGTCCTCTCCACCGCCAGCTGGCTGGGCGGCGCCAATGGCTTCCTGGGCCTCGCCTACCTCACAGTAGGGGGGCTCTGCTTCCTCCTCGGCATCCTCTTCTTCGTCCTCCTCTTCACAAATCCAAGGTATGTATTGAATACTCGTCCAGGCTTTCGTCTCCAAGGGTGCTTTCCACGAGCAGACGTTACAAAAGGAGGCGTTGCGAACGTTTGTGATGCCTATTTCTGGTATAGAATGCCAGGCGTCACAAACATAAACCGTGAATGCGCAACAAATTTTGTGTTTCTATTCCACGCCTCAGCTAGACCGAAAAATAACGACAGCAAACAGATGGCATGTGAAAAAAACCTCAGTGCACAGACTTGCTGAACGGTACAGCAAACGCGATTCTTCACAACGACAGCTCATAAACAGTCACATTTCAGTCATTCCTCATAAGACATATGGCACTCTGTAGGTGTTGCAAGCACAGCCTCCTGGGTTTAGGCGAGGCTAGGCACAAAAGACAGTTTTGTGGGGATTGCGACGCCCCCCTTTACGACACATGCTCGTAGGAATGTTCATCCAAACTTCACTTTGCCTCTTATTCCCTCGCTCCTGCTCCCAGGCTGGTGTAGTAATTTGAAATTCGCATGCTGGTTCTGAAAAATGACGCGTCATTTGTGCGTGTGTGTGCAGGCCATTGGGAGATACCTCATACCTCTCGTGGAATCGCCAGGCTCATCATGTGCCTCCACCTGCAACCTCTGATGCCACCGCTGATGGCACACAATAAAAGAGTTAGTGTTTTCGCTGTTTTGGCTGCAGTTCTTTGTCTTGGCATCGTGTTAAAATGTGCGCAAGTGATTAGCCGTTTGTGCAAAACTTGTTATATGTGTTTCAGTGTACCAGTCTGCGCACCATATGGCTCGGCAAGATGACGAGAATGTACCAAGGCATAAATTGGTAACGTGGATCAATCAACAGGCGCAAGGCTAGGCAGATGAACAGTGCTGTACGCGGTTGCAGGGTGATGCAATGCAACATAGGCGAAGTGAATCTCTCTGCAACCATCAATCTAAACACTCCAAGATGATCAACCGGTGCCAACACAAGCTGAACTGCGGTAGCCCGTTTGTCACATCGTTGATTGTTAATTTACAGTCTGATCTGAACTGCACATTATTGCAATGGTAGTGATAGATCTGACCAACAATCCATCCCAATGTATATTGAAGTTGTTTACAATTGGACACTTAAATATAGTTGCTGCACTTCATACACTGTTTCTTTGTGGAGGTTTGCGACACGTTGCCGGGTTCGACGGACGGGCAGGTCAAAACTGCGACCTGGAGTTTGCTTGACGGTGTTGCTGGCGGCGACTGCGGTTTTGCCGTCGATGGGTCTGGGTTGGGCGGATTGCATCCGTCTAGTCCGTGACCGTTGCTGCGAAATGTTTTATTCGTGTCAGTCAGCGGTTCGATTCACAATGCGTCAGTGGCCCCCGACACGGACCACGCGAGGCGGCGCGTCAAAATCATCAGCTGGTGGGCGGGCCGCGGGTGCCGTTGAGCCTCAGCCAGCGCCAGCCGCTTCGTGTGGTGCTTTCGTTCGCGAGGTACATTTTGACATGTTCCATCCCATGCCGAACCGTCCCAACCAGTCTGTGCGAGGTTTGGCTGGCTGCGCAGTGCGAGCTCCGAGCACGGCGGAGTTCTGCGGCTTGGTTCGGCTCGGGTGGTTCGGAATGGGGCACATGGCATGGCGTGTGTTGACTCTCCCGCCACCCTTGGCTTTCCCTAAACACAGAATGGTTGCTCTCCTAGGTCAGCTGAAGTGAAGCAGAGCAGAGGGACGAGTATCCATGGTCTTCCACACCCAAGCTTCACTTGGAAGTGCTGGAAGTAAGCTTTCATGGAGGCCTAGGAAGTTAGAGCTTTATTACAGTATTCAAGTTGTGGGGCGCGTTAATTGTCTACCTGGAAACAGTGATTAGTAGCCGTATCCGAGAGAACTCCTTCTATGCTAGCTCGGATTTCAAGATTGACAGCAAAAGTCGTGGTTGTAGGACCATTTGTCAAGCGCGTGAGCAGTTGATTCGCGTCGGCAGATTCAAGGTAAGGATCTGGAGAGGGCAAGCAGGACCAAAGAATTTGAGGGCCAGAAATGTGAACGAATCGATAACGGGAAGGACACGGCAATAGGCAGGCGCCAACTTACTAGTAGTGATGGCGGCTGCGACGAATGTCAGGCATGGAAGATTGGCAGCTCCGGTAGTAGCCAAGCCGTCGCAGCAGGTTCAGCCACCTATATACCGCTCCGCCACGTCTCTACATCTCGTCCAGCCTCACTTTCCTTTTCCGAAGATTTTACCGTTTTGCTTCCTCCTTTTCGCTTCGAAGAACGAGCACGAGTGCGGTCGTTAAGTTTGCTATTCCCCTGTTCATGATCCTCTGAAGCTTAGCCTCCTCGCCTGGCCGCTTTGTTGCCTTGTCCTAACGAGCCAACATCAGGTCGCTGCAATGGGTGTTTCTCCCTCATCCTCTCCTTCCCCGTCCATGTGTTTTCCGCGTCGCCCTCGTTTCGTCCGTTCACTAACACAAGTCCTGCCCTTTTTCTCTCTTGCCAGGGGAACATCCGTCCACCTCACCACTGCGACTGACTCTGCTTGCATGGCAAGGCGTTTCGCGCTTCCACTCTCGCCGTGCCACTGACCCTGGCTTCAGACATGGAAGTAGCACGTGGGTCTTTCCGCCGCCCTTCGCGGCCAACTAGCAGACATGGGATTTAGGGAAGCGGAAAGCATAGTAGGAAGTAGGTCGGGGGGGGAAGGGCGGGACCAGCAGTCAGCGATGGTACTGGCGGCGGTGGCGGAGTCGATAGAGATGCTGCGCACGGCGGGCAGCGATGCGGACGAGAAGGAGCGCGTCGCCATGCAGCTCAGCCAGCTGGCGGAGACCAGCGTGGATGCGCGCGCGGCCATCGGCTACCACGCGCAGGCCATTCCGCTGCTCGTGGGGCTCGTGCGCTCGGGCACGCTGCCTGCGCGCACGCATGCAGCGGCGACTCTGGGGGCGATCTGCGACGAGCAGGAGCTGCGCGTGAAGGTGCTGCTGGGGGGGTGCATTCCGCCCATGCTGGCGCTGCTGCGCAACGGCCCCAAGGACTCGCAGATGGTGGCGGCCGAGGCGCTCTTCGCCATGTCCAAGGCGGGGGTCCGGGCGCGACGCCGTGGGGTCGCGCATCTTCGCGTCGGAGGGCGTGGTGCCGGCGCTGCTGCAGCAGCTGCAGAAGCACGCGGGCATCCACCCGGACGTGCTGGGGCTCGTCACGGGCGCCATGCGCAACCTGTGCTACGCCGTGCCGGGCTTCTGGCGCACGGTGGAGGCGGCGGGCGGCGTGGAGATCTTCACGAGCATGCTGTCCATGGGGCGCCCCGCCACGCAGGAGAACGCCGCCGCGCTGCTCACCAGCTTCCTCACCAGCCCCTACCTCGCGCACCCCAATGCGGCGGCCGCCGCCGCCGCGCAGCAGCAAGCCAAGGGCAAGTCTCCAGCCGCTACAGTGGCGGCAGCAGCGGCGGCAGCGGCGGCGGCAGCCATGGAGGGCGGAGAAGGGCTGGAGGAGGCGGCGAATGCGGCGGCGAGAGTGGTGGAGGCTGGCGCCATCCCACCGCTCCTCGCGCTGCTGCAGCCGGGTAGGGAGGTGGCGGTCAGGACGGAGGCGGCTGGGGCGCTGCGCGCAATCTCAGCAGTACACGTGGCGGCTCGGGAAAAGATCGCGGCGGCGGGGGGAGTGGGCATGCTGATCCGCGCGACGATGGCGCCGTCGGCGGAGATGATGCAGACGGGGTACGCGCAGGTGCTGCAGGAGAACGCCATGGGCGCGCTCGCCAACATCGCGGGCGGCAAGGCGGAGGTCGTCGCGTCGCTGGCGGCGGCGGTGAGCAGCGCGCACTCGGACCGCGAGCTGGCGGACAACATCGGCGCGCTGGCGTACGCGCTGATGGTGCTGGACGACGGTGACGACGACGACGGCGCGGCGGAGGACGGTGATGGCGGGGAGGGCGGGAGCGGAAGCAAGGTGGACGCGGAGGGCATCGAGCGCGCGCTGGTGGAGAAGCTCAGCCCGCTGCGGCCCGCGTCGGCGGTGGTGCAGGAGCGGTCGATCGAGGCGCTGGCGAGTCTGTACGGCAACAGCGCGGTGGCGCGCGGGCTGAGCAACGCGGAGGGCAAGCGCATGCTGGTGGGGCTCGTCACGCTGTCGCCCGCCGACGCGCAGGCGGAGCTGGTGGAGGCGCTTTTCAACGTGTGCGTGCAGGGCGCGCCGCTGTGGAGCGCGCTGCACGGGCGCGAGGGCGTGCTGCAGCTGGTGGGACTGCTGGGGCTGTCGACGGAGGACCAGCAGGAGTGTGCGTGCGCGCTGCTCGCCATCCTCTCGCACGAGGAGGACGAGAGCAAGTGGGCCATCACCGCCGCGGGGGGCATTCCGCCGCTCGTCTCGCTGCTGGGGACAGGCACCGCCAAGGCCAAGGAGGACGCCGCGGAGTTACTGGGTAATCTGTGTTCCTATAACGAGGATATTCGCGCGTGCGTGGAGACGGCGGACGCGGCCCCCGCGTTGCTGCATCTGCTGGGCAGCGGGTCGGAGAGGGGACAGGCGGCGGCAGCGCGCGCTCTCATGCGGCTGGTGTCGGGCGGCAGCAGCGGCGCGAGCAGCGCGATCGGGCAGCTGACGGGCATTCTGGTTGCGGAGGTGCCGGAGAGCAAGGTGCACGTGCTGCGCGTGCTGGGCCAGCTGCTCGCCGACTCGCCCGACGCCGCCGACGACGGCACCGCGGCTAACGAGGCGCTTCAGACGCTCGTCGCGCTCGTCGAGTCGGAGCGCGAGGAGACGCAGGAGAGCGCGGCGGCGGTGCTGGCGAATCTGTTCGCGGCGCGGGAGGATCTGCGCGAGGGGCCGGTGGCGGCGGAGGCGATTCCCCCGCTGGTGCGCCTCGTGGAGGACGGCGGCGAGCCCGTAGCCATGCAGGCGGCGCGCGCGTTGGCGGCGCTGTTCTGCTCCATCGACAGCAACGAGGAGGCGGCGCACGCGGCGAGGGCGAGCATCTTCCCGCTGGTGAAGCTGGCGCGCGCGCGCGAGATGGCGGTGGCGGAGGTGGCGACGACGGCGCTGGCGAATCTGCTGGCCAACCCCGAGCTGGCGCTCATGGCGCCGGCGGACGAGGTCGTGCTGCCGCTCTCGCGCCTGCTGCGCGAGGGCACGCCGCACGGCAAGGAGCACGCGGCGGGCGCGCTGGCGCACCTGCTGCACTCGCGCGCGCTGGACGAGGAGCTGGCGGAGAGTATCCGCCAGTGCAGCACCGTGCTCGCGCTCGTCGCGCTGCTCGCCGTCGGCGCCAGCGAGGACGCGTCCATGGCGGCACTGGAGGCGCTGGCGGCGCTGGCGCGCGCCAAGGCGCACAACTGGGGCGGGCAGGCGCCGCTGGCGGTGCTGTCGGAGGTGCCGTACTCGATGGGGCCGCTGGTGGCGGTGCTGGCGGGGGGCACGGCGGGCATGCAGGAGAAGGCGGTGGAGGTGCTGTCGCGGCTGTGCAAGGACCAGCCCGTGACGCTGGGCGACATGATCGCCGGTACTGACAACTGCGTCGCCGCGCTCACCGCGCGCATCACGGACGCGGAGAGCCTCGAGGTCAAGGTGGGCGGCACGGCGCTGCTGATCTGCGCGGCGAAGGAGCACCGCGCGGCGACGATGGCGGCGATGGAGGCGGCGGGCACGCTGCAGCCGGTGGTGCGGTGCCTCGTGGACATGCTGGCGGCGCAGCAGCAGTCGCGCGACCAGCAGCAGCAGCAGCAGGGGGCGGAGGAGGGCGACGGGGAGGCGTCGGCGGAGGCGCTGGTGAGCAGCGTGGCGTTGTGGCTGCTCGCCGTCATGGCGTCGCACGACCACCCCACGCGCGCGCTCGTCGCCGCCGCGGGCGCCGTCGACGTGCTGGTGGACCGCCTCTCGGCGCTGTCGGCGGAGGGGGAGGAGGCGGACGACCTGGGGATGGATGGGGATGGCGGGGAAGGGGGGGACAGCGGGGGGGCGTGGGTGTGCGCGTTGCTGCTGGCGGTGCTGTTCTGCAACCGCGACGTCGTGCGCTCGCCCGTCGCGCTCAGGGCCATTCCGCCGCTCGCCTCGCTGCTCACCTCGCCCGACCCCTCGCAGCGCTACTTTGCCTCGCAGGCCGTCGCGTCGCTCGTGGCGAGCGGCAGTCGCGGCACGCTGCTCGCCATCGCCAACAGCGGCGCCATCCCGCTGCTGCTCGCGCTGCTGGGCCGCGCGGAGGCGGACGTGGCGCACCTGCGCGCGCTGGCGGACGACTTCGAGCTGGCGGGCAGTCCGGAGCAGGTGGCGCTGGAGAAGCTCTTCCGCTGCGACGACATCCGCGCGGGCCGCCATGGCAGCGTGGTGGTGCCGCAGCTCATCGCGCTGCTCACGCCCAACGCCGACCAGCCCAGCGCGCCCGCCGTCGCCATCGGCCTGCTCACGCAGCTCGCGGCCGGCAGCAGCGCGAACCGCGTCGCCATGGCGGACTACCGCATCCTCGAGGCGCTCACCACGTACCTCACGCTCGGCCCTCAGGTGCGCCGCGTGCTGCCCCCCTTGCGTTCTCTCCCCCGTTGACCCCTGATTCACTCGCTGCCCCGCCCCACTAACAGTTGATCGCTCTGCGCGTTCAGCCCCCACCCCTGCTGCTGCATCCGCGCCCCTCACCGCTCGCCCCCCATGCCCGTCCACCCCTTGTCCCTTGCTTCCCCCTTTCCCCGTGCAGGAGGCGATGGAGGCGGCGGCGGTGGAGCTGCTGCGGGTGCTGTTCCAGGCGGACGACCTGCGCGTGCACGCCGCCGCGCCCGCCGCCATGGACCAGCTCGTCGCCGTGCTGCGCGTGGGCTCCCGTGCCGCGCGCCTGCCGGCAGCATCGGCGCTGGAGGCGCTGTTCGCCGTGGACGCGCACCGCGCCAGCGACGCGGCGCTGCACGCGCTGCACCCGCTCGTCGACATGCTGGGCAGCGGGGCCGGCGCGGAGGCTGCTGGCGGGGCTGCTGGCGGCGGCGCTGTGGAGGCGGAGCAGCGGGCGGCAGCGGCGGCGCTGTGCCAGCTGGCGCAGGGCAACGTGGGGCGCGTGCTGCAGGCGTGTGAGGAGGGCGGCATCCCCCTCATGGCCACCATCCAGCGCCTGCTCGAGGCGCCCGACAATCAGCCAGCTGGCAGCAGCGGCGGGTACGACAAGGCGGCGGCGGAGGTGAAGGCGACGGCGGTGGAGCTGCTGCAGACGCTCTTCTCCTTCCCGCGCGCGCGCTCCGGCCCCGTGGCCGCGGCGCTGATCCCGCCGCTGGTGGTGCTGCTGCTGCACCCGTCGTCGTCGCTGCAGTACCGAGCGGCGGGCGCGGTGGACGCGGTGATGGACGACGAGCAGCAGGCCAACGTGGTGGCGAGCTGCAGCGCCGTGGCGCCGCTCGTGAGTCTGCTGGAGGGCGAGCGCCACGGGCTGCACGCGGCGGCCAGCAGCGCTTTGTTCAAGCTGGCCAAGGACCGGCGGCAGTGCAAGCTGGACATGGCGGCGGCCGGGGTCATCGAGCGCATCATCGCCATCTTCCCCTCCGCGCCCCTCGCCCTCTGCTCGCTGCTGGCGGAGCTGCTGCGCGTGCTCACCAACAACTCCACCATCGCCAAGGGCGCCGCTGCTGCGCGCCTCGTGGGGCCCGTGTTCGCCATGCTGCGCCACGCCGAGCTGTCCCCCGCGGCGCAGACGAGCGCACTGCAGGCGCTGGTGAACGTGCTGGAGAAGCCCGGGCGCCTGGAGGCGCTGGACCTGCCGCCCAGCGACGCCATGGAGCCACTCGTGCCGCTGCTGCTGTCGCCCTCGCTGGTGGTGGCACAGCTGGCGGCGGGGCTGCTGGCGCACGTGCTCACGCTCGAGGCCTTCCACAGCGACGGCATCACCGCCGCCGCCGCGGCGCCGCTGGTGAGGCTGCTGGGCAGCGAGCTGGAGTCGCTGCGCACGGAGGCACTCAAGGCACTTGAACTCGTGTCCGCCTACTGGCCGGGCGCCATCGTGGAGGCGGGTGGCATCGACGAGCTGTCGCGCCTGGTGGCGACGGCGCCGCACCCCATGTGGCAGATGGCGGCGACGGTGCTGGCCAACGTGCTGCGCGCACATGACAAGTGTGCCGCGCAGGTGCCGGTGCCCGTGCTGGTGCGCCTGCTCATGGCCAACACCGAGCCCGTGCAGGTCGTCGCGCTGTCGGCGCTGCTGGCGCTGGAGCGGGAGGACCCGGCGAGGGCGGACGAGATGGCGCGCATGGGCGTGGTGGACGCGCTGCTGGAGCTGCTGCGCTGTCACCAGGTGGAGGAGGCGGCGGCACGGCTGCTGGAGGCCATCTTCAACAACGCGCGTGTGAGGGAGTCGCAGACGGCGCTGCGCTCCATCGCACCCCTGGCGTCGTACCTGCTGGACCCCAACTCCGCCGACCCCAACGCCAAGCTGCTCGCCGCACTGGCGCTGGGCGACCTGTTCCAGGAGACCAGCGTGGCGCTCAAGACCGTGGACCTCACGGGCGCGTGCCGCGCGCTGGTGGCGCTCATGGCGGAGCGCGCGAGCGAGGACCTGGTGATGGTGGCGCTGTGCGGGCTGCAGAACCTCGTAGCGTCGTCGCGCGCCAACAAGCGCGCCGTGGCGGACGCGGGCGGGTTTGGCGTGCTGGTGGAGCTGCTGACAGGCGGGTCGGCGGAGGTGACGTCACAGGCGGCGAACCTGGTGCGGCTGATGCTGAACAACCACACGGTGCAGGAGTACGCCACGCCGGAGCTGGTGTCGTCCATGACGGGCGTGATCGAGCGCGAGCTGTGGAAGACGGCGAGTGTGAACGAGGAGGTGCTGCAGGCCATCGAGGGGCTCCTCGCCACCTTCTCCCGCCTGCGCTTCAGCGAGTGCGCCACGGCCGCCATCCCCGTGCTGGTGGGCGCCATGAAGGTGGGCAGCGAGGTGGCGCAGGAGACGGCGCTCAACGTGCTGTGGCTGCTGCGGCAGGGGTGGGCGTCGAGCAAGGAGATGGCGCGGCTGCAGTCCATCGCCATGGGCGACACCATCCCCGTGCTGCAGCTCATGCTGCGCTCCGGCCCCATCAACCTCTACGAGAAGGCGGAGACGCTGCTGTCCGTGCTGCCGGGCAGCCTGTCGGTGTGTGTGAAGCGCGGCGCCAACCTCAAGGCGTCCATGGGCGCCACCAACGCCTACTGCAAGCTCACGCTCAGCGACACCCCCGCCAAGGTCACCAAGGTCAGTGCACGTGGGGCGAGGCTCAGGGGCAGCGGGTCATGGGGGATGGGGATGGTGGTGATCTGCCATCTGATCTTAGCTTGTGGGCTTGTGTTATGTGTGTTGCATGATATCATGTGTGCTCCTCCTTGACATGGCAGGTGGTGAGCGCCACGTGTGACCCCGAGTGGAAGCAGACCTTCACGTGGCCGCTGGACGCCCCTCCACGCGGGCAGAACCTCCACATCTCATGCAAGAACAAGGGCACCATCGGCACCGTGAGTTACTACTGCCTGCCTGCTGCACCCTTCATGTGCCTCACTGTGTGCTGCTCCACATGTGTTCCATTTCCAGCCCGTTCCGTGTCTCATTCCCTTGGCTTCTCTGCACTGTGGTGTGTTGGCCGTGCTGTGTTGGTTGTGCTGTGTGTGTGTGGTTGAGCAGAGCTCGTTGGGCAAGGCAACGATACAGATAGACCGGGTGGTGGCGCTGGGGATGGTGTCGGGCACGTACGTGCTGCAGCCAGAGGGCAACCGTGACGGCACCCAGCGCACCATCGATGTCGACTTCGTCTGGTCCAACCGCTGATGCCGTTCATGCCCCTCCACCCACCCACTCACTCACCGCTGATGCTGCTGCCACTCACCCACCCTGTGTGGTGTTAGCATTGGCTTGACGTTGTGATACTTGGAGTGCCCCTCGAGCAGCAGCAACCGCCAATACAGGCCACCCCACAATCCATCTTGTGTTGTGCCCCTCGCTCCTCTGTGCCGCTGCTGCTCCCTCTATGCCACCACCGCCTGCTTGCTCGCCCCAACAAACACTCCAGCTGCTGCCAATCATTCACATGTCTATAAGGCGCTATACTGCCATGCAAATGCGTGCCAATCCTGCCACTGCCACCATTGGTACAATGGACCACCATCAACAGCCTGAGCCACGAATTCCAGTCGTGCTGGGGCCATGGTCAGCAGGCATGCTGCTGGGCTTGTCCTGCTGTTTTGCCGACAGGGCTCCAGCTTGCCAGACGGCACAAGACGGCAAGCAAGCTTGTAGGCGCCCTCCTGCGCTACCATTAGCATCTACTCGTGCAGCATGTGCATCCCTGGTGCTGAGCATCAGGGAGAGGATCAGCTTTTAGTCACTAGTACCATAGTTTAGTGAGCCTCCCCAATTTATTAATGAGTTGCCTAATGGCAGAGCACAAGGAATTTATGCTCTGCCTTGATAGAAGTTTGCTAAGCAAGTGTGTTTCTACATTGCACTGCAGCTAGTGAAACTCTATCTATGAACTTGCAGAGCTACATTTTGATCATGACTAGAGGCATTGTGGTGGTGTAGGAGATGTGGATGGCACATGTCAGTCAGGCGCCCATGGGTTGCACCGGAAAGAGTAACACCGTCACCTGCAACGAGCATGGAGCGTCAAATGCAGTTTGGGCAAGGGAAGGGTGTTGCAGGCAGCATGAGAGAGAGGTGCAACGCATGGATGAAGGCGCTGCTTTGGAGCCAAAAGCGTCAAAACCAGAAATGGTTGGACCTAGCAAGTGCCAACCCTTTGGATCTGCGTGCATCAGTCCATGTGTGTGACACATGCTGCCACGATCTGAGCGCACTGTGCAAGCTGCAACGACCGATAGCCACCCACCGTGCAGTGAGGAGAAAGGGAGAAGGGAGAAGCTGACCTGCACGGTGGAGAAGGCGAGCAGCGGGGAGGCCACAGTGCCCCCCAGCACGCGGCCGTCGGAGGCAACGAGGGTGGCAGTGAGCCCTCCCATGCGGCTGGAGGCATCTGCAGGGTCGTCCGGCACGTATGAGCCAGACAGCGACACCACGTCCACCGCTCCCTGCATGCATGCACGCAAAGGAGGCACGCTTAACACACATTGCTTCCTGTGACCCACCCCATGCTGTGTGCTCCTATCGCCCACCCATGTAGTGTGCTGCTATGACCCACCCCATGCTGTGTGCTGCTATGACCCACCCCATGCTGTGTGCTGCTATGACCCACCCCATGCTGTGTGCTGCTATGACCCACCCCATGCTGTGTGCTGCTATGACCCACCCCATGCTGTGTGCTGCTATGACCCACCCCATGCTGTGTGCTGCTATGACCCACCCCATGCTGTGTGCTGCTATGACCCACCCCATGCTGTGTGCTGCTATGACCCACCCCATGCTGTGTGCTGCTATGACCCACCCCATGCTGTGTGCTGCTATGACCCACCCCATGCTGTGTGCTGCTATGACCCACCCCATGCTGTGTGCTGCTATGACCCACCCCATGCTGTGTGCTGCTATGACCCACCCCATGCTGTGTGCTGCTATGACCCACCCCATGCTGTGTGCTGCTATGACCCACCCCATGCTGTGTGCTGCTATGACCCACCCCATGCTGTGTGCTGCTATGACCCACCCCATGCTGTGTGCTGCTATGACCCACCCCATGCTGTGTGCTGCTATGACCCACCCCATGCTGTGTGCTGCTATGACCCACCCCATGCTGTGTGCTGCTATGACCCACCCCATGCTGTGTGCTGCTATGACCCACCCCATGCTGTGTGCTGCTATGACCCACCCCATGCTGTGTGCTGCTATGACCCACCCCATGCTGTGTGCTGCTATGACCCACCCCATGCTGTGTGCTGCTATGACCCACCCCATGCTGTGTGCTGCTATGACCCACCCCATGCTGTGTGCTGCTATGACGCACCCCATGCTGTGTGCTGCTATGACCCACCGCAAGTGGTGTGGAGGGCAGGGCGGTGGGTGGGCCAGAGAGGGAGGGCGGGTGCACGGAGCCATTGGCGGACAGCACACACACCGCCCTGCCCTCCTCGCGCGACAACTCAAATATCCGCGCAGCTACGTCCTGTGTGCCTCACCCAGGGGAGGACACACGCAGGGGAGGACGAGTGATTAAGGCCCTGCGGACACAAGCATGACAGACGACTTTATCGACGCTTCTGTACCCCTCTCCCACTCGCTTTCCACTCCGGTAGCCCCCCTCCTTTCTACGATGCCATCTGCTGCTACCCTGCTCTGCTGGTACAATTATAGGCCTTCCCATTCCCGAGTAAAGAGCAGGTGAGCAAAGCACGGGAAAGAAGTGACTTGTCGAGGCAAAGAGGGCTCTAACAAGGCATTCTCAACAGCCACTTTTGAAATCAACCATGCCTCCATCCCCACCTCTCTCATACCTCGCCACGTGGAACCAGGAGGACTCTTGGCTCGAGCGCTGCACACACGGCAAGGAGGGGAGCACACGGAGCAAGGAGCGGGAGCAGGCATGAATTTGTCGCACTGGGGAGCAGCCGCCACAGCAAGGCCGCAGGGAAAGCAGAGAGGTTGGCGAGCAGCAGGGCGAGCAGCAGGGCGGGCGGAGGTGGGAGGGGCGCACGCACAGCTGGGAGCGGCAGGCGGCTCGCTCTGACCCGTCTCGCTGCCCAACGGCCGACCGGGGCTTCGCCTTGGCAGAGTGGGGTCTTTAGGCGGCCGTCCCGCCTTTCGCTTTGGTGAAGCTGAGTTGTTAGGTGGCCGTCCCGGTCGTCTCTTCGGCAGCGTCGGGTCTTTCGGCGGCCGTCCCGGGCCCCGCTTCGGCGTGCTCGAGTCCTCCGGGGCCCGCCCGCCGCGCACCTCCTGCACTCCCGAGTCCTTGCGCGGCCGTCCGCGCCCGCGCTTTGGAAGCGTGGGTTCCTTGGGCGGGTGTTTGCGCGGGCGGCCCTCGCGGGCGCTTCATGGCCAGCGGGGCTTGCGACTCCGGTGGCGGAGAGAGCAGCTCCGCGCGCACCATCGACATGCAGTTCACAAGAAGCGGGCTAATCCCGTTAGAATCACACACGACAACCAACTGAGCTTACTACTGTCCTGCCAATGCCTTGCACCAAATTTGCACTACTTGTACAGTCTAACAGGCCATGCCCGAACCTCGACTACCTCGCTATTACTGACACGCCGCGTTCCGAACCTTGGAAACCAGGGACGCCACGCCACGCTTGAAGAATTGTTCCCTGTATTGCATCCCAAAACCTATCACATTCTGGTCGGCTAAGCGGTCCCACAAGTGTTCGAAATACATTACCAGATGTATATGCAGCGGAGAGTCACGAACGCTATCGGCACAGCTAGAAACGAAACCCTTCGTATGTACCAAATTCTGAAGAGGACTCTCAATGTTTTTTGGGGTCAGTTGAAGTCGAATTTGTATTGGTATATAATTAGTCGCATCCAGGGTCCATAACCAGAGTTCTCGACGCATGCACAATCCAAACACGTTTTGTAGGATGTGTGCTCCATATAACTGGGACCAGCGGCTCTTTCGCCAAACCCTGGTTTTGCAGAGTGATAATATTAGCTAGCGGAAAAACCGCCACATATGAAATACTTTACTCATCGCCTGCCCTGACCTGACGACCAGCGCTTGAGCGCCAGCCAGGCCTCAAAATCAGGAAAAGTCCAAGGCAGGGTGCACTGCCAAGCCAAACCTGTCAGCGCGGGGAGTCACCAGACCAACCGAAAGCGAGCGAACGAAGGGTGCATTCCTGGCTCGTGTCAAACTTCCGGTCAAACTTCGTGTTTCCGAGACCAGGGGCACAATTTAGCCGGAAGACCCGAAGTGGGTCTCGGATGACACAAAGTGGGGCCAACTGTGGGCCAGCTTCGTGTCATCCCCGGAAGACCGGAAGTATGACACGAGCCAGGAACGCACCCGAAGACGGAAGGTTTGGGTGGGGGGCGCGGGGGACCGAGAGGACGACGGATGGACGGTGGGGTGGGGTGGGCGGGCGCCAGTCAACGCTGGCCAGCAGAGGACAACCACCAAGGCAGAACTGGGCGAGAGGAGGGAAGCTTTCTTGCTTGATGCATGGTTGGTGTTACCTACTCTCGAATCAACAAACTCGGACATGTTCACTCTAGAAGAGCATCTGTAGGCAATTATTTGTTCAGGACACGTAGACATAGCGAGCTGCCGCTCTCCGTGAGACGTCATGCAGTTCCAGCAATCGGACTTCTCCCAGCTTCAGCAAGCGCAGGAAGATCAATTTAGGGTTCCGCTCAATGCGGGTATAGAGCCGTCTTTCAGGGCGGACCAGTGCGCAGCAGGACGCGGCGACGCCGCGGCATTCATACCGTCGAGTGCGGCGGACCTGTCGCAGCTGCCTGGGGGCGCCATGATGGACTTCGCGGCGCTGCCAGGCGAGCCCGCGTGGCCGCTTGGGGCTCGCGACGGGCTCTGGTTCCCCGAAGCGTCGCAGCTAGTCGCTCCGCCCGTCGACGCTGCTGCGACGAATGAGTTTGGCGGGGCCGCTGGTGGCGGCGCTGTGAGCATGGACGGCGGCGACGTGGCGTCGTCGGGGGTGTCGCGGGACTTGCTGCTGCAGCTGCTGTCGGCGGGTCTCGACATGCCCTCGCTGCAGGCCATGCTCGCCGCGCTCGACGCCCCCACCACCGCCACCGCCACCCCGCTCGCCACGTCGTCACCACTCGAGTCGCAGCCGCCCCAGGTGGGTGCGGACAACACGGCGCAGCTTTTCGCAGCAGGCGCGGCTGCGGCGGCGGAGCACACGGTGGGTGCATTCAACGGTTCTGCGCCGCCGGGAAGCGGCCGCGCCACCCTGAGCCAGAGCCACAGCCTGGACGGTCGATCCGCGCTTCCGCCCGTGTCGCCGCAAGTCAACGCGCGATCTCGACCGCAGCTCACGGCGGGCGAGCGCCCCGTCCCGGTGCTGGGGTCCGCCGCGCACGGCGCGCAGTCGAGCCTGCGCTCCCGGCGGGGCCTGCCCGACCTCTCCAGCTCGCTGGCCAACGCGCGCCCCTCCGCCGTCTCCCGCCTCGCCGCTGCCACCTGCGGCAATCCCCCCTCCAACTCGGGCAAGCGCGAGGCCGAGGCGGGCATGACGGGCGGCGCAGCGCGGTGGCCGCTGTCGCCCGCGCTCAAGAGCCCGCGATCCGACGGATACCGCAGCCCTGGCGGCAGCCGCGTTCTGTCCGCCATAGCCGCGAGTCCCACCGGGCTCGCGAGCGACATGGCGCAGCTGCGCGTGCGCTCGCTGCCCACCACTCCGCTCGGCGGGGCCGCGCCCTTGCCGCTGGGGTCGGCGCGCGGCGGAGTGGGAGGGGGCGTGCCATCCGCGGAGTCGGCAGGCAGAGGGTCGCACTCGAGAGGGTCGAGCGGCGAGCAGGGCTACGAGGTGGCGTCGGCAGGCGGGCACGATGGAGCCGCGCGGGACGGGCAGGAGGGCGGGATGGAAGCGGGCGCCGCGCACATGGAGGAGGGCGGGGGGGCGGCAGCAGGGATGGGCGAGGGCGTGGAGGGCGGCGGAGGGGGAGACGAGCTGTACGGCGGCGATGGGTTTGGGCTGGACGAGGGGGGGGACGAGGAGGCGGACGGGGAGGGCGGCAAGGGGGGGGGCGGAGGCAGGGGGCGGGGCCGGCATTCGACGAAGCCGCGCAGCGTGGCGGAGCGCATGCGGCGGGAGCGCATCTCAGCGCGGCTGAAGCGGCTGAAGGACGTGATGCCGCGCACGGACGCGCGCACAGACACGTCCGCCATGCTGGACGACGCCGTGGTGTACATCCGCTCCCTGCAGATGCGCTGCGCCGCCCTTGAGACCCAAAACTCTGTGCTCGCCAAACAACTCGCCGATGCTGCCCGCACCCGCGAGCACGCCCCGCAATAGCGCCTTCCCCCGCTGCTGCGTGCAGCTGCCACTGCCTCACCCATGCCTTGCCCTGTCCTTAGCCTAGGCTGCCTGCGCCCACTGCTGACCTGCTGATCACCCCATCGGTTGCTTGCGCACGATTACATGCTATCCTCATTCTTGTATATTCAAAACTTTATGAACACCTCCACCTCATTGTGTGGAATACCACTTCTGTCTTTCGCCCCGTCTTCTCACTCACTCACACTCCCACTCTCCCTCTCTCCATCTATCTCTTCCTGCCTCCCTCTCTCCTACCCCTCTTGGCACTCCTCCGTCCCTCCACCAATCCCTCCCTCGCTCCCTCTCTCGATCCGCCAATCCATCCCTCGTTTCCTCTCTCGCTCTGCCCCTCCCTCCCTCACTCCCTCCCTTCCTTTCCTTTCTTAGGGTACATTCCGCGCTGGACATGTCCCAATCGAAAGTGTCTCAATCGTTTCTACCGCACTGCATCGTATTACACCAAATTGCACCCTAGTTTCGAAATTTTCGCGTCTCTGGTTTAGTTCGGTTCGGAGCGGTACACTCGATTGGGACACATCGATTGGGACAGTGTCCACAGTGGAATGTACCCTTACTCCCTTGCCCCTTTCCGCTCCCGTTCTACCTCCTTATCTCCCATTCATGCCATCTTCTTCCCCTTCTCTCTCCGTTCATCCTCTCCCACGATAACTCGTTCTCCCCCCCTCTTCTTACTCCCTCCCCCACTCCCTCCCTCCCTCCCTCCCCTCCCTCCCTCCCTCCCTCCCTCCCTCCCTCCCTCCCTCCCTCCCTCCCTCCCTCCCTCCCTCCCTCCCTCCCTCCCTCCCTCCCTCCCTCCCTCCCTCCCTCCCTCCCTCCCTCCCTCCCTCCCTCCCTCCCTCCCTCCTCCCCCACTCCCTCCCTCCCTCCCTCCTCCCCCCCGCCCTCCCTCCCTCCCTCCCTCCCTCCCTCCCTCCCTCCCTCCCTCCCTCCCTCCCTCCCTCCCTCCCTCCCTCCCTCCCTCCCTCCCTCCCTCCCTCCCCTCCCCCTCCCTTTCCTTCCCCCCGCTCCCCTCCCAGTCTTCCTCCTTTTCTTCCTCCTAGGCCATCTCTCCTTCCCCTTCTCTCTCCCTTCCCTCCCTCCCACATTCACTCTGGCCAACCCTCGATCCCTTCCTCTTTCCCCGCCTCTATGCTTCCCTCCTTCCTTCCCCTCCCTCCACCCCTGTCTCCTTACTCCCGTGTCCTCTCATTACATTGATCACTTCCTTCCTCCTCCCTCTTCTCCACGTCTTCACTCTTCTGCTCCCCTCCCCGGTCTTTCATTGCTGTGGATAGAAAACAGCGAACGGCATTGTTAGTCCATTCATAAATGTGGTCTGTTCTGATATGAAGTGTCTTCAACCTGAAAACTTGGGGGGGGTGCTATGTGCGGGAAAACTGCTAATTTCTCTTACATTTCATACAGTTGGGGGTGCAATCTACTACTGGAATATTGCGCATAACTTGCAAAATGTATGGAATGAAAAAACAGTCAGAATATATTTAGTGTAGTTATATAGCTGTCCTGCTTGTGGTGCACCCCCTCCTTGCTTGTCTCTTGTACAACTTGGGCCTTTGGCCCTTTAGTGAAACCCCTTCCTTTCTACTCTCGATAGTTGCCTAGCATCCAAACCCTAGGCACTACTAAGAGCGTGTTCCTATCCTCGTATCAATTCAACCTCGTATCAGGCTCACACTGAAAATTCCCCTAAACCCCAAACCTCTCGCTAGTTTTACCAGGCAAAAACAGCATTATTGATACGAGGTTTCCTGATATGAGGCCGTAGGAACACGCTCTAAGGTCATTCTAACATGGTATTAAGAGCCGGTCGTTCCTAGACCGATTCCCTCATTGGGCCCACCGTTAGCTTCCGCTAATGCGCCATTTTGCTGCCCGTCGCGCGCCCCGGGCGTGCGTCGGTTTCCTGCCCGTCGCGCGCCCAAGGCGCGCGTCAGTTTTCTGCCCGTCGCGCGCCCCGAGCGCACGGCGGTTTCTGCCCGTCGTGCGCCCCGTGCGCGCGGCGGTTTCTGCCCGTCGCGCGCCCCGGGCGAGCGTCGGTTCCTGCCCGATGCGCGCCCCGGGCGCGCGTCGGTTTCTGCCAGCCGCGCTGTCAAAACATATGCATATCATTATCTAGGCTATATTGGTGCTAGCCTTAGGGGGTACAGAAACTCTCTCGACACTCTAGTCTTGTACCCCAACCTTGACCTAATCTCATGATTCCCTTGACTTAGTCTTTAACATGGTATCTAGAGCAGGAGGTCTCTAGGACCTAAGAATCGGGCCCACCTAACTGTGTTACCACCTGCCTGCCTTGCCTACTGCCCGCGCGCGCCTCGGCTGCAGCGCGCGTCACTTTTTTCCGCGCGCGCCTCGGTTTCTAGCGCGCGCGTCACTGTTTTTTAGCGCGCGCCACTGCTGCAGCGCCGCGCGCCGGTCCGCGTCGCCCGCGCAGCCTCGCGTAGAGCCCGCGCGCCCCTTACGCCGCCCGCGCGCAACCTGCTTAGGCCACGCCCGCGCAGCCCGTCGCCACGCGCAGCTAGGAGCCGCGCGCAGCCCGTCGCCACGTGCAGCCAGGAGCCGCGCGCAGCACGTAGCCACGCACAGCAGAGAGCCGCGCGCAGCCCTCAGCCGCACGCAGCCAGCAGCCGCGTGTACCCTACTCGTGTACCTGCCTGTGAGGCTCACTGCTGCCGAGCCCACTGCCTTAGAACTGCTCGGCCTGCTACTGTCTAGAGCCCCACCTTAGGAGCTCGAGTGCAGCAAGCTACTGCCCTGCACGTTGCCTGTACTGCCTGCTGCCTACTGCCTCCTGTCTACTGCCTGCCTGCTTTCTTCTGCCTTTGCCTGCTGCCATTATGACGACGCCTAACGTTCTCGCGTTCGAGCCTGACGGTCGCCCCATAGAGTTCGCTGTGTGGTTAGATGATCTCCAACTGTTCCTTCTGACCGATGCCAAAGAGGGCGTTTCACTGTTCGATTACGTGTCTGGCACTGCCGTTGCTCCTGCTGCCGATGCTCCTGCTCTCGAACGCTCACAGTGGCAGACTCGCGATGCTGCTGCACGCCTAGCTATTAGGAACCATCTGCCGATTACTGAGCGCGCGCATTTCAGCCAGCACAAAACTGCTAAGACGCTGTACGACGCTGTAGTTGCGCGCTACTCCTCCCCGGCCACTGCAGCCATAGGTCGGCTCATGCTACCCTACCTGTTCCCCGACCTTTCCTCGTTCACCACTGCTGAGGACCTCATTTCCCACCTGCGCGCTACTGACACTCGCTTTCGTGCCTCACTTTCCGCCGAGTTCTGCGACGCAAACCCCCCCCCCGATGTACTTCACTCTCTATTTCCTCGTCACCCGCCTCCCTGACACTCTCAGCTCCGTCAGGGACCACTTCCTAGCGCTAGACCCCCCCACTCTCACTGTCGACGACTTCGAGAAGCACCTCCTTGCAGCAGAGAAGAACATCCTCGCTGTAGGTGCTGCTCGTGGCACTCCTCGCTCTCCCCTCTTTGAGGGGTGCTCCCCCTCCCCTCTCACCCCCTCCTACGCCTCCGCAGCTGCTGCTCACGACTACCTTGGTGCTGAGGAGGTCGGGGCTGCTTCCGCTCCTAGTGGGAAGCGTCGCAGCGGCAGGGGCGGCAAGGGTGGCAGGGGAGGTGGGGGTGGCGGTGGAGGTGGCGACGGGGGAGGTGGAGGTGGTGGAGGCGGTCTTGGGGGTGGAGGTGGTGGAGGTGGTGGTGGGGGCAGCGGAGGCACTGGGAGCGGTGGAGGTGGCAGCAGCGGCAGTGGGGGAGGAGGGAGCGGTGGTGGCAGTGGAGGTCAGGGCCAGCAGCAGCCGCAGCAGCAGCAGCAGCAGCAGCAGCAGCAGCAGCAGCAGCAGCAGCAGCAGCAGCAGCAGCAGCAGCAGCAGCAGCAGCAGCAGCAGCAGCAGCAGCAGTAGCAGCGTCAGCGCCAGACCCCCACTTCCCAGCAGCTTCTTGACTGGTATGCCGGGCGTGGAGCTTCTGGGGGTCCTGGTCGCTGCCCCTATATCATTCGCACAGGTCCCCGCGCTAATCGCCAGTGCACAGGGTTTCACACTGAGCAGCGCTGCTTCGCTCGGCTTAGCGACGCCTGGCGCGCCAAGTTTCCTGATGCTACTGAGTTCCCCAACTGGGCAGACTTGCTTAGGCGTGATGTACCTATCTTTGATCTTGACTATGAGGCAATTCTTGCTGCTATGTATGCATTGACTGTTAGTGCTGAGGGTGACTGCTACTTGTGTGTGCCGCCGGATCCTGGTATAGCCCCTGGTATAGCCCCTGCAGCACTAGGTGCTTGTGAGTCCGCTCCCCTTGGTACTGCGCCTGCACAGGCCTTGCACACCTTTACACTTGACTCTGGTGCTTCCCGCTGTTTCTTTCGCGACAGTACCACAGTCACTCCCCTCCCTGCACCTGTTCCTGTCTCACTGGCTGACCCCTCTGGGGGCCCAGTGCTTGCACGGTCTTCCACTGTGCTTCCGTGTCCGGCGGTCCCGTCTGGTGAGCTATCTGGTCTCCACCTCCCCTCGTTCTCTACGAACTTGGTGAGCAACGCCGTCCTTCAGGATCACTGGGTTGACACCTTTACTCCTGGAGGACAGCGTGTGGCGATCTGCACGTGCTCCCGGACCGGCCGTCACCTGGCCACGTTCACACGTGCGCCTGGGTCCAGTCTGTACACCCTCACCACTGCGTCGCGCTACACCCCTTTGTCTCCCCAGCTGTACGCGTCTGCTCAGGTAGCTACCCAGTGTGAGTGTCGCCGACTGTCGCACGACACTCTCCTGTGGCACCACCGCCTTGGTCACCCCTCCCTGCCTCGCCTTCGTAGCATGCACTCTCGCTACCTGGTCTCTGGCCTCCCTGAGTCTCTGCCTGCCCTCCCTCCCTCGCCTGCGCCGCCCTGCATTCCTTGCATCGAGGGGCGGCAGCGCGCCGCTCCTCACTCCTCCTCGTTTCCTCCCATAGAGGCTCCCCTGCAGACTCTCCACATGGACGTGTGGGGCCCAGCCCGCGTCCGTGGACAGGGCCACGAGCGGTACTTCCTGCTGGTCGTCGACGACTACACGCGTTACACCACGGTCTTCCCCTTGCGCAGCAAGGGGGAGGTCCCTGATGTTTTGATCCCCTGGATCCGCGCTGTTCGTCTCCAGCTCCGCGAGCGGTTCCAGTCGGACTTTCCTGTCCTGCGTCTGCACTCTGACAGAGGTGGTGAGTTCTCCTCAGACCTCTTGGCAGCCTTCTGTGCGGAGCACGGCATCCGCCAGACGTTCACGCTTCCGGCCTCTCCGCAGCAGAATGGGGTTGCTGAGCGCCGCATTGGCTTAGTCATGGAGGTCGCTCGTACCTCCATGATCCATGCGGCTGCCCCCCATTTTCTGTAGCCGTTTGCGGTCCGGTACGCCGCGCATCAGCTCAACCTCTGGCCCCGTGTCTCCTTGCCGGAGACCTCGCCCACTCTGCTGTGGACGGGGAAGGTTGGCGATGCGTCGCGTTTCCGGGTCTGGGGTGCTCGTGCCTTTGTCCGCGATACCACCGCGGACAAGCTCTCCGCTCGCGCCATTCCCTGCGTCTTCCTTGGCTTTGTCCCTGACGCGCCTGGCTGGCAGCTCTACGACCCCGCCTCGCGTCGTGTCTTTCCGTCTCAGGACGTCACCTTTGACGAGTCCGTCCCCTTTTACCGTCTCTTTCCCTTCCGCACTGCCCCTCGCCCCCCACCGCCGCTCTTTCTCGCCTCAGGTGCTCCCCAGGTAGACCCCCTCCCCGCGCCAGGTCCTGCTCCTTCAGGTGTTTCTCAGGTAGACCCTCCCCTGCCTGCGCCTGTTGAGGTCACTGGTGACTCAGGTCCTGCTGGGGGTGGTACTGTCTTTGGGGGTGCTGAGCCTGGGGGTGCGGAGCTTGGGGGTGCTGAGCCTGGGGGTGCGGAGCCTACGCGTGAGGACCCAGGAGGTACTGAGCCGGGGGGTGCGGAGTCTGGGGGCGCTGAGCCTGAGCGTGAGGAGCCTGGGGGTACTGAGTCTGGGGGTGCGACGCCTGAGGGTTCTGAGTCTGCTGCTACGCGGTCGCCTTGGGGTAGCCGCCTTCGTCCGCGTGTGCCTCTCACCTCACAGCAGCTGCACGACTGGTACGGTCGCCGTCAGGGTCGCGCTTCTGGAGCTCGGGGCTCTGCCGCTGGAGGTACTTCTGCTGACGTCTCTGGAGCTGGGAGTGGTGCTGGTCCCGGAGGTGCTCGTCCTGGAGGGGCTGGAGCTGCTGGGGCTGGAGCTGCTGCTGAGCCTGAGGGTGCTACCGCTGGAGACCCTGGGTCTGGGGGTGCTACTGCTGGAGACACGGAGGCTGGAGACCCTGGGACTGGAGGTGCCGAATCTGGGGGTGCTGCTGAGGGTACTGGGGCTGCTGGAGGTGCTGGAGCTGCTGAGGGTGCGGGAGCTGCTGGAGGTGCTGGAGCTGCTGAGCGTACTGGAGCTGCTGGAGGTGCTGGAGCTGCTGGAGGTACTTGAGCTGCTGAGGGTCCTGGAGCTGCAGGGGGTGCTGGAGCTGCTGAGGGTGCTGGAGCTGCTGGAGGTGCTGGAGCTGCTGAGGGTGCTGGAGCTGCTGAGGGTGCTGGAGCTGCTGGTGCTGGTGGCACTGCACAGCCGCGCCTGTTCTTTGCTCCACCGTCTCCGTCGTCGGTGCCACCGCCTGACTCCGTACTTCGCCAGGTTCTTAGCCTCCCGTCGTCTACTGGTCTTCCGTTACAGCCTGGCACACCTCTGCCTGCTCCGTCTCCTTACACTGAGCAGACAGGGGGCTTTACTGAGCGTCGTGAGCCTGCGTCGCGTCCTGCCTCACCTGTCCGTTCTGGTCGTTCCAGTCGTCGTGTTCCTCGTCAGCGTCCGCCGGCTGTCCCCGGCCCTTCCCTTGTAGTCCGTCGTCCTGCCTCTCCTCCGCAGCGTGTTCCTCTGCCGTCTCCTCCTGAGTCTTCTCTGCCTGTTGTTTCGGACCCTGAGTCTGACCGGTTTTGTGCTGAGCACCCTACTGTCACGCGTCTGCTAGCCACTGTTGTCACTGACCCGTCGCTTGAGTCTGCTGCTGCGTCTGCCCTAGTCGCTGAGCTTGTTGACTTTGCTGCTGCCTGTCGTCTAGACTACGCTGCTAGTCTTGTTGCTGAGTCTGAGTCTGTCTGTCCTCCGTCCGTCGGGGGTGAGTGTGCTCTTGGCACGGACGTCCTAGAGGACAGGCACGAGGACCTTGAGTGTTTTGCAGCCGCTGCGCCTCATCTCGTGTCCATGCTGCTTGCCCCTGAGGGAGACCCGGATGCACCAGACATCCCGACCCCGCGCTCTTACGCTGAGGCGATCGCGGGTGAGTACTCCTCTCAGTGGCAGACAGCCATGGATGCAGAGATGGCATCCTAGAAGTCCACAGGCACCTACGTCGACGAGGTTCCCCCTCCTGGGGCGAACATCGTCAGTGGCATGTGGATTTTCAGGGTGAAGCGGCCGCCAGGTTCTCCGCCTGTCTTCAAGGCTCGTTACGTTGCTCGAGGTTTCAGTCAGCGAGAGGGAGTTGAATTCTTCAAGACCTTCTCCCCCACCCCGAAGATGACCACTCTTCGGGTACTGCTGCACGTTGCCGCTCAGCGTGACTACGAGCTTCACTCTCTTGACTTCAGCACAGCTTTCTTACAGGGCAGCCTGCACGAGGAGATCTGGCTGCGCCGCCCACCTGGCTTCACTGGGTCGTTCCCTCCTGGCACCCAGTGGAGCCTCCGGCGGCCGGTCTACGGTCTCCGCCAGGCGCCGCGTGAGTGGCACGACACACTGAGGACGACACTTGCGGCTCTTGGGTTTTCTCCGTCGACTGCTGACCCGTCGCTGTTTCTGCGCACCGACACTTCACTCCCGCCGTTCTACATCCTCGTGTACGTCGACGACTTGGTCTTTGCCACTGCTGACACTGAGGCTCTCGCCCTGGTGAAGTCGGAGCTGCAGAAGAGACACACGTGCACAGACCTGGGTGAGCTGACAAGCTATCTTGGCTTGCGGATCACCCGGGACAGAGCACGCCGCACCATCACACTGACTCAGTCACACATGGTGCAGCAGGTCCTTCAGCGCTTCGGCTTCACCTGGTCCTCGGCACAGGCCACTCCTCTGGCTACAGGTCACTCGCTCTCAGCTCCACCTTGGGACGAGTCCGTAGAGCCGAGTGGTCCTTACCCAGAGCTAGTGGGCTGCCTCATGTACCTGATGACCTGCACTCGTCCTGACCTTGCGTACCCTCTTGGCCTTCTGGCTCGCTACGTGGCTCCTGGTCGGCACCGAAAGGTGCACATGGAGGCTGCTAAGAGGGTACTACGCTACTTGTGCAGTACATCGGGCATGGGGCTCGTGCTTGGAGGACGGAGCGACGTTGTCCTCACTGGGCACTCAGACGCTTCTTGGGTTGACGACCAGGCTACGCAGCGGTCGTCACAGGGTTACACCTTCAGCCTTGGCTCTGGTTCGGTTTCTTGGCGTTCTACAGGCTCGTCTTCAGTTCTCGGCTCCAGTTGTGAGGCTGAGATCTACGCCACAGCCATGGCTGCACAGGAGTTACGCTGGCTCACCTACCTGCTGACCGACTTGGGAGAGAGGCCTCGTTCTCCTCCAGTGCTGTACGTCGACAACAAGGCCGCCATTGCCTTGTGTCAGGAGCACAGACTGGAGCACAGAACGAAGCACATCGCTCTGCGTTACTTCCTTGCTCGAGAGCTACAGCAGCGTGGTCAGCTTCGTCTTGCTTACGTGGCCACTCGGGCCAACACTGCTGATATATTCACCAAGGCGCTTCCGCCTGGTGATCATCAGCGTTTCTGTACTTTGTTAGGCCTTGTGCCTACGTTTCCACACTTGCTGTAGTCTTTGCCTGTACTGTGATCTATATATATATACCTGCATGCTTGCTCTTGCTAGCTAGAGATCACTGTGCTGTTCTTGTTGCTTATATACCTCTGCATGTGGACTGGCCTTGTGGCCGTTTGCTTGTGCTCAGTGTGTGTGGTGACGTTGTGATCCACCCTGAGCTGTGTTTTGTTTCTTCTCTTGACTGGTCTTGTGACCGTTGCTTGCTCTGGCTATCCCCCATTTCGCCTATGGGGGTGTGTCAAAACATATGCATATCATTATCTAGGCTATATTGGTGCTAGCCTTAGGGGGTACAGAAACTCTCTCGACATTCTAGTCTTGTACCCCAACCTTGACCTAATCTCATGATTCCCTTGACTTAGTCTTAACACGCGCGCCCTGCTGCCCTGCGCGACCTGCTGCCCCGTGCCCCAGCGCGACCTGCTGCCCCGTGCCCCAGCGCGACCTGCTGCCTGCGGCCCAGCGCGACCTGCTGCCGCAGCGTCCTACAACAGTGGGGGGGGTGGGTTTGGGGTGCCGGGTGTGAGCACCCAGTTGCCGCCCCTCCTCCTCTCTCTCTCACTGCCGCACGTGCCGCTGTGGGGGGGAGGGTGAGGGGGTGGCGGGCTTTTGGACGCCGTGTGAAGGCTTGAACAGGGACCACCGTGGGTGGGGAAGGCGTTGGAGGAAGGGTGGGGGGGAAGGTGTGAGGTTCCAGGGGGCGGTTGACAAGGGGGGTGAGGTTGAGGGGGGTGGCTGAAAGGGGGCGTGGAATTAGGGGGTTAGTAAGAGGGGCTCGCCGCGCTAGGCTCCCCCCCACCTCCTCTCCTCCCTCTCTCACCCTCCCCCCTTTGTCAAACGAGGGTTCGTAAGAGGGGTTCGCCGCGTGGCTCCCCCCACCTCCTCTCCTCATCCCTCTCTCACCCCCCCCCTTTGTAAAACGGGGGTTCGTAAGAGGGGCTCGCCGCGTGGCTCCCCCCACCTCCTCTCCTCATTCCTCTCCTCTCCCCTCTCTCTCTCTCTCTCGTCTCCTCCTCCTCGCATTCCTCTCTGTTGTCTTCCGCTGCGCAGGGTGTACCCCTCCAGGGGGTGTTATGCACATGGCTATTCCTGCATGCAGTTAGGGGGTGTGTCAGAATATATTTCTGTATAACTGCATGTAGTTCTAGCTGTAGTGTAGTTATATAGCTGTCCTGCTTGTGGTGCACCCCCTCCTTGCTTGTCCCTTGTATAACTTGGGCCTTTGGCCCTTTAGTGAAACCCCTTCCTTTCTACTCTCGATAGTTGCCTAGCATCCAAACCCTAGGCACTACTAAGGTCATTCTAACAAAAACAAATACGTGGCAAATAAGTAGAGAATAGTCTATTCTAGTTAAGTAACATAAAACAAAGGGCATCGAATACGTTTGGCCAATCAAAGTGATGCATTGATCAGTTTGGTCGGTGTGCGCGTACGTAGGGAGCGTACCAGGCAGAGTTGAAACGGTCATATCTTGCAAAATGTATGGAATGAAAAAGAAATACGTGACGAAGAAGTAGAAATTTGTCTATTCTAGTGAACTAACCTAAAAGAAAGGGCATGCAATGAGTTTGGCCAATCAAAGTGATGCATTGATCAGTTTGGTCAGTGTGCGCGTACGTAGGGAGCGTACCAGGCAGCGTTGTGTCAGAATGTTATTATCTAGCCTGTAGTGGGGTGCTCTATAGCGAGTACAACCCAGTTAGGGTTTGCTATATGTATCCCAATTGCTGCTAGTGAAACCCCTCCTTTCTTCATTCTTGTTTCTACCTGCTAGTTATGACATGGTTTCAGAGCAGGTCGATCCCCTTGGGTCGATCCTGTGGGTGGGCCCGCCACCTAACTGCTTCCGCTGCTGTTCTGCTTCTCGCGCGCCTCGGGCGCGCGCCGTCTTCTTCCTGCCGTGCGCTCGGGGCGCGCGGCGAGTTTCTGCCCGCCGTGCGCCCCGAGGCGCGCGGCGGTTTTCTGCCGTAGGGGACCCGCGCGCAACACCCCGCCCTTCCCGTCGCGTCGCCCTGCAGGCCGCGTGCGGGTCTGCAGGGCGCGTGCGGCCCGTCTGCCCGTCGCGCGGCCCGTCTGTCCGCCGCGCGGCCTTGGGGAGCCGTGCGCGCCCCCCGCCTGTCCGTCGCGGCGCCCTGGGGAGCCGCGCGCGCCCCCCCGCCCGTCCGTCTTGGCGCCCTGGGGAGGAGCGCGCGGCCCCTCCTGTCCCGTCCCCCCCCCCCCCGTGCTGCCCATTCCTCCCGTGCCGCCGTGCGTTCCGCGGTGGTGGGGGGTGTGGGGTGGCAAGCATGGGGGTGCGCGGTGTGGGTGTTCCCCTCCTCCTTGTTCGTCTCCCACTGCTGCAGCTGCTGCTGAGGGGGGTGGAGGTGTGGGAGCCGCGGGGAGTGGAGCTGGGGGGGTGACGTGGAAGTGGAGCTAGGGTTTCTGCAGGGGGTGTGTGAAAGGGGTGTGGGACAGTTGGGGGAGGTTGCGCGGAGGTCGTCGTCGTGTCGCCAGCAGCACCAGTAGTCCGGAGCCCTTGCTCTCGGTAGCCCAGTGAGCCTGCTGCGCCAGTCGCCCGTGGGTCCGTTGCTCCTGCCGCTCGTCGTAGCCGCGGAGTCTGTTACTCCAGTAGTCCGGGGCCCTTGCTCCGGTAGCCACTGTGCCAGCCGCTTCTGTTGCCCGTGTGACTGCAGCTTCAGCCGTCGCCTCCAGTCTACTCTCCTCTCACAGTCACTCCTCCTCCTCACTTGCCCTCTGTGATAGCCTCTAGCTTTGCTTGTAATTGTGAACTACTGCTATGCCTGCTCATTGTACTGATTACACCCCACTTTGGCTATGGGGGTGTGTCAGAATGTTATTATCTAGCCCGTAGTGGGGTGCTCTATAGCGAGTACAACCCAGTTAGGGTTTGCTATATGTATCCCAACTGCTGCTAGTGAAACCTCTCCTTTCTTCATTCTTGTTTCTACCTGCTAGTTACGACACGTTGAAACGCTCATTTCTTGCAAAGTGCATGGAATGAAATAGAAATACACGGCGAGGAAGTAGAAAATAGTATATTCAAGTTAACTAACCTAAAACAAAGGGCATCCAATGCGTTTGGCCAATCAAAGTGATGCATTAATCAGTTTGGTCGGTGTGCGTGTATGTAGGGAGCGTACCAGGGAGAGTTGAAACGCTCATACCCCGACGCATTCGCGTTTTGCCCCAGAAATGGCACTGAACGGCCAGTATGGGCCCGTTCAAAGGGGTGGGGGCGGCGCGTTTGTGCGCGTTTGGAGCCGAGACCACATGCAAGGTGGGAGGGGGTGTGGCGAGCACGAGCGTGAGCAAAAACCCCTGGCTGATTCGCAAATTTTCTACACCGGTCCCGACGCATTCGCATTTTGCCCCAGAAATGGCCCCGAACGCCCAGTATGGGCCCGTTCGAAGGGGTGGGGGCGGCGCGTTTGTGCGTGTTTGGAGCCGAGACCAGATGCAAGGTGGGAGGGGGTGTGGCGAGCACGAGCGTGAGCAAAAAACCCCCGGCTGATTCGCAATTTTTTTTACACCGGTCTCGACGCATTCGCGTTTTTGCCCCAGAAATGGCCCCGAACGCCCAGTATGGGCCCGTTCAAAGGGGTGGGGGCGGCACGTTTGTACGCGTTTGGAGCCGAGACCACATGCAAGGTGGGAGGGGGTGTGGCGAGCACGAGCGTGAGCAAAAAACCCCGGATGATTCGTAATTTTTCTACACCGGTCTCACGCACGAGGTGACCGCGAAGTCGTCGAGGCTTCAGTTGATTGGAATCGTGATGCACGGAGTCGAGGCACAGCACGCCAATCAACTGCAGCCCATCATGGCATAGTGCAGTATGGGCGGCAACGGCAACAAGGATCAACATGTCCGATCGAGGAACAAACGGCCGACTTCACTATGAGTGACCGAAGCAGCGGGGCGGTTTGGGTGTGCGATGTTACAACCACAGACCCCATCAGCACAAGGGATCCCGAGGCGACGAAAGGCAGGGGATGGGTGGCCCGGGAGCAGGCCGATAAAAAGATCAAGCACTACGCCAATCGACCAAAGACAGTGGGGTTCTTCCCCTTGGCCGTAGAGACATACGGCTGCCCATGTGCTGAAGTCCCCGGTTTTCCTCAAGCTACTGGCGGATACGGCGGCTAGGCGCTACTTCAACGCCGACTCTAAATCTTTCCAAGCCGCAAAATTCCTGCACCAGTTCCGACAGAGGTGGTCGGTTGCACTGCAGAGGGCCCAATCAGTGGGTTACCTGCTCAAGTCAAGTAGGAAACCTAAAAGTGTTGTACCCTATATGAACTACCCACTACAGCCTACACAGACTATAGCATATAAGTTTGACACACCCCCATAGGCAAAGTGGGGGAGAACAAGAGGTCACAAGACCGGTCAAGAAAGGCAAAGCAAGCTCAGGGTGGATCACGACGTCACCACGCAGTCTGAGCACAAGCAAATGGCCACAAGGCCAGTTCACATGCAGAGTTATATAAAGAAGAACAAGCAATACAGTGATCACAACCTAGCAAGTGCAAGCATGTAGGTATAGAGATCACAGTACAAGCAGAGTCAAGAAGTAAGCAAGTGAGGCACAGTAGGCACAAGGCCTAGAACAGTACAGAAACGCTGATGATCACAAGGCTGAAGCGCCTTGGTGAAGATATCAGCAGTGTTGGCCCGAGAGGCCACGTAAGCAAGACGAAGCTGACCACACTGCTGCAACTCTCCAGCAAGGAAGTAACGCAGAGCGATGTGCTTCGTTCTGTGCTCCAGTCTGTGCTCCTGACACAAGGCAATCATGACCTTGTTGTCGACGTACAGCACTGGAGGAGAACGAGGCGGCTCTCCCAGGTCAGTCAGCAGGTAGGTGAGCCAGCGTAACTCCTGTGCAGCCATGGCCCCTGCGTAGATCTCAGCCTCACAACTGGAGCTGAGAACAGAAGACGAGCGGGTAGACCGCCAAGCACGAGCCCCATGCCCGACGTACTGCACAAGTAG